CTCCAGGATAGACCACATATAAGGTCACAAATATAGTCTCGGCAAATTTTTAAAAACTGAAGTCATTCCAACTATCTTTTCAGACCACAATGGATTAAAACTGAAGATAAACGATAAGCAAAACTCTGGAATTTATACAAATACATGGAAACTAAGTAATAGGCTCCTGAATGATTTATGGGTCGAAGAAAAAATTAAACAGGAAATCAAAAAATTTCTAGAAACTAATGAAAATAAAGATACATCATACCAAAATCTGTGTGATACTGCAAAAGCTGTATTAAGAGGCAATTTAGTGCAATAAAAGCTTATATCAGAAGAATGGAAGACTTCAAACAAATTAACTAATACTATGACTCAAAAAGCTTGAAAAACAGCAACAATCCAAACCTAAAAGTAGTAGACAGAAAGAAACAATTAAGTTCAGAGCACAACTAAATCAAATAGAGATCCAAAAAACAATAAAAAGATCAACAAAACAAAAAGGTGGTATTTTGAGATAATAAAGAAAATAGACCAACCATTAGCTAGGTTAACAAAAAAAAAAAAAAAAAAAAAAAAAAAAAAAAAAAGAAGAAGAGAGAGGACCCAAATAACAAAAACGAGAAAAGAAAAGGGAGACATCATATCCAATACCAGGGAAATACAAAGAATCTTTAGAGACTATTATAAACAACTGTATGATGACAAATATGAAAATATGGAAGATACAGATAAATTTCTAGACACATACAAACTACCAAGACTGAACCAAGAAGAGATAGGAAACCTGAACCAACCAATAACAAACAAGGAGATTGAAGTGATAATTAGCCATTTTCCAACAAAGAAAAGTCTGGGTCTGGATGATTTTACAGGTGAATTCTATCAAACTTTTAAAGAGGAGTTAATACCAATTCTCGTCAAACTATTCCAAACAATTGAAACTAACAATACTCTCCCAAACTCATTCTATGAGGCCACCATAACTCTGATACCAAAACCAGATAAAAACACAACAAAAAAAGAAAATTATAGGCCAATATTCTTGATGAATCTAGATGCTAAAATCCTTAACAAAATATTAGCAATCAGAATACAACAACTTATTAAAAAATTATACACTATGATCAAGTGGGATTCATCCCAGGGATGCAAGGTACGGGTCAAAATAGAAAGTCAATAAATGTGATACATCACATCAACAAATTCAAGGACAAAGTCCGTTATGATTATTTCAATAGATGCTGAAAATGCATTTGACAAAATTCAATATCACTTCATGAAAATGACTCTCAAAAAATTAGGTATAGAATGAAAATATCTCAACACAATAAAAGCCATTTATGACAAGCCAACCACCAGTATCATTCTGAATGGGGAAAAAGTGAAGGCCTTTCCCTTAAGAACAGGAACAGGAAAAGGATGCCAACTCTCACCACTTCTATTTAACATAGTACTAGAGGTACTAGACAGACCAATCAGGCAAGAGAAAGAAATAAAGGGAATTCAGATTGGAAAAGATGAAGTCAAACTGTCTCTATTTGCAGATGACATGATACTATATATAGGAAAACCTAAAGACTCTATCAAAAGCTCCTAGAGCTGGTTAATAACTTCAGTAATGTTGCAGGATACAAAACAAATGCCCCCAAATTGGTAGCATTTATATACTCAAATAACGAATCAACAGAAACAGAAATAAAGAAAGTAAGCCCATTTACAATTGTCACCCAAAAAATAAGATACCTAGCGATCAATTTAACCAAGGAGGTGAAAGATCTCTACAATGAGAACTACAAACCACTTCTGAAAGAAATTAAAGAAGACACAAAAAGATGGAAAGATATATGCTTTGGATTGGAAGAATTAACATTGTGAAAAAGCCCATACAGATTCAGCAATTCATTGATTTACAGATTCAATGCAATCCCCATCAAAATACCAATGACATTCTTCACAGAAATGGAAAAAACAATCTTACCTTTCACATGAAAAAACAAAAGACCCCGAATAGCCAAAGCAATCCTGAGCAAAAAAAATAAAGCCAGAAGAATAACACTACCTGACTTCAAATTATACTACAAGCTATTGTAACCAAAATAGCATGGTACTGGTACAAAAATAGACATTCAGTCCAGTGCAGTAGTATTGAGAACACAGAAATCACCCCTCAGGCTTATAGCCATCAGATATTGGACAAAGGCAACAAAAATCTACATTGGGGAAAAGACTGCCTCTTCAAAAATGGTGCTGGGAAAACTAGATATCCATATGCAGAAGAATGAAACTAGATATGCATCTCTCACCATACACTAAAATCAACTCAAAATGGATTATTTCTATGGGAAAATATAGGTGAAACACTTCAGCAATTATGTCTGGGCTCAGGCTTTATGAACATGAGGCCGAACGCACAAGCAGCAGAAGAAAAAAATAAACCAATGGGGCTATATCAAACTAAAAAGCTTCTGCACAGCAAAGGACACAATCAACAGAATGAAAAGACAACTTGCAGAGTGGGAGAAAATTTTCGCTAACTATGCATCTGACAAGGGATTAATATTCAGAATATACATAGAACTCAAGCAATTATACAGTAAAAGAAAACAAATAACCCAATCAAAAAATGGTAAAGGGGCTGAATAGACACTTTTTAAAGGAAGACTTACAAATGGCAACAGACATGAAAAAATGCTCAACATCACTAGTCATCAAGGAAATGCAAATTAAAACTACATTGAGATACCACCTCAGCCCAGTTTGAGTGGCTAAAACAAAAAAGGAGGTGAATAACAAATGCTGGCCAGGGTGTGGAGAGAATGGGACACTCCTACACTGTTGGTGGGACTGTAAATTCGTACAATCACTGTGGAAAACAGGATGGAGGTTTTCCAAACAACTACAGATAGATCTTCCATGCGATCCAGCAATCCCTCTTCTGGGTATATACCCAGAAGAATGGAAATCATCATGTTGAAGAGATACCTGCAGTCCTGTGTTTATTGCAGCTTTGTTTACAATAGCCACAATATGGAACCAACCTAAAAGTCCATCGATGGATGACTGGATAAGGAACCTGTGGTATATATACACCATGGAATACTACTCTGCCATATAAAAGCATGAAATACTCCCTTTGCAACTACATGGATGAAAGTGGAGATACTTTTCCTGTTTGAAAGAAGCAAAGCACAGAGGGATATATACTGCCTATGCTCACTCATATGTGAGAGCTAAGATAGAAAGAAGATAGGAAAGAAAGACCACAGTTGTGTATTAGTCTTACAGAGTGAGAGAACATTCCTAGTGCTACAAAGTGGAATGGGGGGAAAGGGAGCGGGGGGAGATTGGGGGACAATTGGTTGGGGGTCACAGGGTACAAAAGTAATTTCTGGTAGTGGGTATGCTCCCAGTATGAATCTGGTCCTCACATCATTGGCACGATGGGTGACAGTTAGCTTTGTATCCCATGAATATTCATAATAAATAAAATTTTAAAAATCCTATTTGAAATGTTATAATATCAGATAACATACTTGGCATTTTAATTTTAGACTGAATTCACATTTTCTTGTAACTCAGTCTCAAACTGCAATTAATTAATTAATTAGTATGAATAATTAATGCCAAATTCTTAGTCCTATTGAAAAAAAGAAGCGAAGAAACAATGGGAGGTTTGAACCTCCAGAAGAGGATGGAAAAATAGAGTGCACAAAAGGGAAGACAGCAATGCTGCTATGGGAAAGGTTGTAGAACAGGAGGCTGAATTTGAAAACCTTTCTAATTTTGTCTGAAGTTTCTTTAATTAAGTTGTAGTGATCAGTGCAAATAGAAGTTCTAACTTGAAGAATGTTGGCATATAACCACAAGCAGGTGGCTCTGTATTTTATGATTTATGATGATAAATGGGTGGGGTAAATTAGTTGACCTGTGGGCACTGGGGGAGGAGGGGAGGACGCAGACTCAACACTTATAATATGACCCTTATAACTCTTACCTCGAGGGTTAGCCGCAATCATCAGTATGATCACAGCAGGGAAAAATGTCAATATGCATAGACTAGTATATCCTAGCCTGAATACAGATATAGTTGTGAACATTCTATCTCATATTATGCCTTATTTATTCTATCAAAAGACATGACCTTAAAAATGTGTTTCCCCCTCCTTATTGTCAACTATAATTTAGTAGTGGAATAGCAATCCTCCCAGCATATCTAATGAGTTTCTTTGGTCCTATTTTAAAGCTTTTAATCTTCATAAATAATAAGCTAAGTAAACTTAAGGTGCTTGGACAATTTCTTTAGCTTAATGTATTCAAATCCACAGTTGGCACTTCATTTCTTTTCATTTAAAAATAAATCTATCTTGTCTCGATAGGCTGTACATGAACACACACACCTAGCAATATAAGTCAAAGCAATACATCCAGAATGATGAGATCTGCTTGTTGCCTTTATAAGAGAGATGCCATTTTCAGAAAGGTCTCAAAAACTCTTTTCTGATTAAGTCAATATATATTGTTAAAATAATTCACAGCCACACCATTCTTTAATACAAATTTCAAAACACAGTTGAGAAACTTTTTTTCAAGAGAATTTCCGTAAACAGATGAGTATCTCTTTAATATTTTTGAGGGCTTTCCTTCAGAAAAGTTTACTGTCAATTGTAGCTAATAGGTGGTTTTGTGTACACGGTTTCCTGTGCATGCTTCCATGCCTTCCACATTTACATTTTAATTTTTGGAGAAAACCTGGCCAATATTAACTATGACAAACTTTGGCAACTCCTAAAGCATAGTTCTGTAGATAACAGTCCACATAACCATCATCTCCACTTCAGTTACAAAAGTGAAAACCCAAATTTTATTGACATGAAAATCCAATCATAATGTCCCCTTAAGAAAAGCTGTGTGCCTTAGCAACAAACAGAATCCTGACAACCATCAAACAGCTTCAAAATAATAGTAATATTCCTAAACTTGCTATTTTTCAAAATTAAAAATAAACAAAGACTTACTTGCTTTGTTTTTCCATGCTAGCTACCCTGAGGCATTCCCATCTTGAATTTAGGAGATTCATTTGTTCTTGTACTTCAGTTTCTTCATCTTCTGATAATTTCCCTGTTCCAATCAGTTGACTTCCCAAATGTAGAACATTACCAACACGTCCCTGATGGGAGGTCAAATCCATCATGTATCCCTGACAAAGAAAGAAGTTAATTGAAATTAATACTTTACATAAATTATTGTGATTTTGAATGTTATTTTTTGCAATTTTAAATTTTAAATTTGTAACCCATTTACATTTATGCTTGTATTCCCAGTAAAAGTATTTTGATTTTTGTTTAAGAAAATCCAACACCATTTTTAATATGAATTAAGAAAAGTTATTATCTTAGATCACCTTCTGCAGAAGTAGTCCCTGAGATAAGGACTTTGGTGCAAGGGATTTATTAAGGAAGAAGATGACTGCAAGGGAGTTGCTGAAGAAGTGTGAAAGAGGATAGGGAATAGGAGGATACTAAGAAAGTGTGTCCTCTCAGGACATTACCACTGAGAGTAATTCAGCCCTTTGACCCAATTCCACAACACGTACTCTGGAGTATAAGTTATGCCTCAGCATTGCCTTGACACAATAGAAGGGAGCTGCGCTCTTATATTCCTGTGTGAATCATTGGCAAACCAGTCTCAGCATCTTTGGGAGTTATTCTCCAAAGAAGAACTTTAAATACTGGCTGTGGGAATCCCAAGCACACGAGCATTTGTTTCCACCTCAAAATAAAAACTGAATTTCCAAAATTCAAGGATCTTTTGGGGCAATTGAGAAAAAAGGGATGTGTCATTATAACAAGTCATATGCTTATTTTTCTACATCAAAGTTTTGTTTTACCTCATGAGTATGAAATTGTTCTTTGACTTCTTCTACATCATTAGAAATATCTCCTTGGGCCTGCAATGTATCCTCAGCAGAAAGAAGCCATGAGAGTACTTCTTCTAATGCTGTTTGGTAACTGTCCAGGTTGACTTCAGTCTCCATTAATGACTTGCCAAACGACTTGTCTTCAGGAGCTTCCAAATGCTGAACAATGAAATAAATTTGGTGTTATACAATGTGTTTTTGTAGACTGCTCCAGTATATTAAATGATAAATAGAAATAATTTTTGAAATGCTAAAAACATCCACTTCCATTATCAGGGACGTGAGCAGCAGACACATACAATAGTGAGCCTGCATTTTAACATCCTCACAAATACACACGCACATTTCAAAATAGCTGTCAAAATCCATGCCAAATTAAAATTTTATTAAAGCTCTTATGGATTACTAAGAGAGTAAATTAATATATCATCTCTTCATGTTTCATTATAAATGCTATGAATTTTCACCCATGGGTAACCATTTTCAGTTTATTCTTACAATCCTATACATCTACATCTACATATAAATTACTGCAATCATGTTTATATACTTTCACAATGGCATTAAAGGAAAGAAACATCTTTTTCTGAGATGCTCTTGGTAATAAAATATTTCTGAAAGTTTACAAATGGTAAATATATCAGTAAGAAAATAAGTGTGACGGGGGATGTAGGTAAAATTTAAAAATAAATATTTCACCTACACATCTAAAATTTCTAACAGTATAAAATTTCTATGAATTAGAATTTATGTCTAGAAAGCCATGGTTTAAATACCAAGACATTTATCTTAGGTACAGTAAAATATGAAGTATTTTCTACCCTAGAATTTCTGCTAGAACCCTAAAGCTAAGATAGAAGGGTACTAAGCACCCATAACACTAAGGAGATGTTCCAGGCTACCTATCAAGAAATTGCTAAGAGGTAATCACAACTGGTCTCACACTCCTTAACCCACTATCTTGCTCAAAGTTGTATAAGAGGAAGCAAGGGTATTAATTGGAGAAATCAGGTGAGAGAGGATTTCCTCTGAAATGGCTGGAATTCTGTGCCATGACCATAACTTCTCCCCACCTGAAGCCAAGTAATAGAGGCAAGGTGGTTTATGTGATGCAATAATCAACCTCTAAACCTGGCCATGTTGAGAGTGACTTGAACACTTTCATGCCAGCCTCAGAAGCCCCACTTCCCATGACTCTAGCAGAGAGAGGCCTCAGCACCCCGGCAATAGCACTTGGGAGTTCTGTCTCCCACAGTTCTCACTGGGAGAGGCCCCAACAGTCTGGCACCAAGCCCAAGAGCCCCACTGCTTACTGCTCTCGCTGGGAGTGACTAGAGAGACCCTACACCAACTCTGGGAACACCACCCCTCATGACTCCAACCAGAAGCGACTTGAGCTCTTCAAAGCAGACCCTGTGAGCCTCACCCCCTGTGTTTCTGCTGGGAGAGACTTGAGAGATTCCATACCAACCCTGGGAGGCCCTCCTCCTGCAGCTCTTGCAAGTAGAGTCTTGAGCACATCTATGCTACCCCATGGACACCACCCCCACAGCTGTTGCAGGGAGAGACCTCGACACAATGGAAATAGCACCTGTAGTCCAACTCTGCAAAACTTTCGCTGGGAGGGCCCCCAGCAGTCTGGCTCTGGGTCCAGGAGCCTTACCCCTTGTGGCTGTCACTGGGAGTGACTTGAGCACCTCTTCACTAGCCCTAGGAGTTCTGCCTCCTGTGGCTTGAGCTGAAAGAGGCCTCAGCAGCCCATCACCAGCCCTGAGAGCTTCACTCCTCACAGCATTCACCAGGAGAGGCCTGAATGGTCCTACACCAGCTTTTGGGACACCCCCTCCCACCTCTCAGTTTTCCCTGTAAGAGGCCTCAGAGGCTCAGCACCAGCCCCAAGAGCCTTGCATCTTGCAATTCCCACTCTAGGATGTGTGAATCACTGGACAGTAGACCCAGAAGTCTCCTCCCAACCAAAGTCTACATGGAATCGAAACTGAGCCATCCTACCCAATAGGCAACATAAAACAAACCTTCAAGAGAGATTCTTTCTCTCCAAAAGAAACTCAAGTAACTGAAGAAGCAACTGCTTCACCAGATGACCAAACATCAACAGAGAGATACCAGAAATATGAAAAAAACAAGAAACTAGGACACCCCCAAAGGAATGTAATAACAAACATAAGATCCTAATCTACAAGAAGCCCTTGAATTGTCTGAAAAAGAATTCGAAGCAAAAATCATAAGGAAACTCAGTGAGATACAAGAAGAGACACATAGGCAACACAATGAAACAATAAAAATAATCCAAGATATAAAGGAGGAAATCTACAAAGAGATTAATGCTGTAAAAAGGGATGTGGCAGAACACTTGAAACTGAAAGATTCATTCAACAAAATAAAAACAACATTTGACAGCTTTAGCAGTAGACAAGAGCAAGCAGAAAAAAAATGTCTGATATTGAAGACACTGTTTTTGAAATAACTCAAGCAAATAAAAAAAGAATTTTAAAAAATGAAGAAAATCTCCAAGAACTACCAGACAGCCTCAAGCATACAAACATACAAATTATGGGTGTTCCAGAAGGGGAAGAAAAAGAAAAAGGCATTGAGAACTTATTCAATGAGATAACAGCAGAAAACATCACTGGTATTGGTAGAGAAATGGATTTCCAGATACAAGAAGTATAAAGATCCCCAAACAAGTTCAATCCAAAAAGGTCCTCTCTGAGACATGTTGTAGTTAAACTGGCAAAATTTACAGACAAAGAGATAATCCTAAAAAGAGCAAGAGAAAAATGTCAAGTCACCTATAATGGAGTCCCCTTCAAACTAACAGCAGACTTCTCAGCAGAAACAATGCAGGCAAGAAGAGAATAGTATGATGTATTTATAGTATTAAAAGAGAAAAACTGCCTAACAAGAATACTATACCTAGCAGGTCTATCTTTCAGATATGAAAGAGATATAGTGTATTTCCCAGATAAACAAATATTACGGGAATTCTGCACCACATGACCAGCAATACAAGAAACCATCAAGGTAGTCCTACACTGGAAATGCCCCCCAAAATAATCCTTTCCATGAACACACTAGGAAGAAAAATCACATTTATAAAAGACATAGGCAAATGAGAAAGAGGAAAATAACAAAACAAAACTATACCATTCCCTTTCAAAAACTCAACAAACTGCAAAGTCATAGAACAGCAGGGAAAAGAAGGAACAAAAGATACTTTTAAAGCAACCACAGGAAAATAATTAAATGACAGGAATCAGACAATATCTTTCAATAGCAATGATAAAATGTTAATGGATTCAACTCCCCACTCAAAAGACATCAGCTGGCTAGATGTATTAAAAAGATAGACCTCACTATATGCTGCCTACAAGAAACCCACCTCACCTGTAAAGACTCTCACAGAGTAAAAGTGAAAGTTTGGAAAAAGATATACCATGCAAATAGAAACCAAAAATGAGCAGGCGTAGCTTTTCCTATATCAGATTAAAGAGACTTAAAACCAAAAACTATAAAAAGAGACAAAGAAGGACATTACATAATGATAAATTGATCTATCTACCAGGAAGACATAACAATCCTAAATATACACGTTCCCAACATTGGTGCACCCAGATTTATAAAGCAAACATTACTACACATAGAGAGAGAGAGATAGACCTCAACACTTTAATAGTTGGGGACCTGAACATTGCCCTCTCAACTTTGGACAGATCATCTAGGCAACAAATCAATAGGAAAACACAGGATTTAAACTACATTCTAGACCAATTGGACTTGGTGGATATATATAGAACATTTCACCCAACAACCAGAGAATATACATTCTTCTCATCAGCACATGGAACACTCTCCAAGATAGATCACATATTAGGTCACAAATCAAGTGTCAACAAATTTTAAAAAATTGAAATCATTTCATGCATCTTCTCAGACCACAATGGATTAAAACTAGAAATTAATAACAAAAGAAACTTTGGACATCACACAAATACTTGGAAATTAAACAACATGCTTCTGAATGACATATAGATTAAAGAATAAATCAAACAGGAAATCAAAAAATCTCTCAAAACTAAGGATAATAACAACATATCATACCAAAACCTATGGGATACTGCAAAAGCAGTACTAAGAGGAAAGTTTATTGTAATAAATGTTTACAGCAAGAGAAAAGAAAGATTTCAAATAAACAACCTAACTTTACACCTCAAGGAATTAGAAAAACAAGAACAATCTAATCCAAAATTTAGTAGGCAGAAAGAAAGAATTAAAATCAGAGAGGATTAAATGAAATAGAGACCAAAAATATGATACAAAAGAACAATGAAACAAAAAGTTGGTTTTTTGAGAAGATAAACAAAATAGACAAACCACTAGCCAGACTTACTAAAAAAGGAAGAGAGAAGATCCAAATATCAAAAATCAGAAATGAAAAAAGGTATATCACAACTGATACCACAGAAGTACACAGAATCATTAGAGATTACTATGCTATGAACAACTACACACCAACAAATTTGAAAATCTGGAGGAAATGGATAGATATCTTGACACATACAAACTACCAAGATTGAACCAAGAAGACAGAAAAAGAGAACAGACCAATAACAAGCAACCAGATTGTAGCAGTAATCAGAAATCTTCCAAAAAGAAAAAGCCAGGACCAAATGGCTTCACTGCTGAAATCTACCAAACCTTTAAAGGGGAATTAATACCAGTTCTTTCCAAACTATTCCAAAAATTAAAACAGAAACCATTCTCCCAAACTCATTCCATGAAGCCAGCAACACCCTGATACCAAAACGAGACAATGAAAAAATAAACAAAAAAAAAACTACAGGCCAATATCCATGATGAATTTAGATGCTACAATCATCAACAAAATACTAGTAAACAGAATACAGCAACATATAAAAAGATTATACATCATGATCAAGTAGGATTCATCCCAGGAATGCAAGGATGGTTCAACATATGCATGTCAATAAATGTGATACACCATGCCAACAAAGTGAAGAACAAAAACCATATGATTATCTCAATAGATGCAGAAAAAGCATTTGAAAAAAATTCAACATCCTTTCATGATAAAGACTCTCAACAAATTAGGTACAGAGGGAAGGTATCTTAACATATTA